CATTGTGAAATTCTTGAACCATTTCCCGCTTGATGATGACAAAGGTATCATCGACATACCGAGCCCAAAATGTTGGCCTGTAGATCTCAAAAACTGCGGTCTCCACTTTTTGTAGAACTGCTTCTGCTATGAAGCCCGAAAGTGGTGATCCCATCGGTGTCCCCTTGATCTGTTCATATACTCTCCCTTCGAACGTAAAGAACGTCTTCAGGCAGAACTTTAACAGTTGAATGAGATGTCTCCGTTTCACGCTTTCGCCCGTCTCGTCGTACTTTCTTTCGAGCAGTTCGCCAACCGTTTCGACTGCTAGCCATTGCGGGATCGAAGTGAAGAGAGAGGTGACGTCGAAAGACACCATGACCTCATCTTCGTTTAGCCGCATCCCTTTGAGCCGCTCCAGGAACTGAGCCGCTGAACAGACGGTCGTGGTCGAGTCCGAGGTGAGAGACCTCATGCTGCGGAATAGCCACTTTGCCAGATTATATGTTGGTGCACCGCGCAACGAAACAATTGGTCGGAGGGGGAGACCGGCTTTGTGTACCTTCGGTAGTCCATAAAATTGTGGTGGGGCAGCATCTGTTGGCTTAATGGCCAGCCGTACCGACTTACTTATTGCTTTGTTTGATTGCATGTCGGCGAGCGTCTTGTCCAGTTGAGTCACCAGTTTCTTTATCGATTCTTCACCACATGGGAGGTATGCCTGTCGGACCTCCAGTAGAGCGTTCGCCTTCTGAACGTAGTCTGTCTTATCCAGCTGTCGAACGTCCTTTGTCTGCCGGTAGTATTACAATGCTAGTGTCATTCCTGAGTGCCCTGAGAGCGCTCTGCTCCGCTCTGGTGATGATCGCTCGCGGTTTGTGCGCCATCACCAAGGAGGTGACCTGTTGCCGAATGAGATGCGCAGTCTCGTCCGATTCTCCGGTTTGTTTGAGGATCGATTCGACCGTGGCAATGAGATTGACCGGATCAGCGTCTGTGGTGTTGAAGCAAGCTTCATGACTCAGCACTTTCAGCTGTGCAGGAGTCAGCTGTTTGGAGGACATATTGTGAACAAGGATTTCGTTTTCTTCCGGAGATGAGTGGCTTATACTTCGAACCTTAGCAGCCAGCTCAACATCTCTTTTTGCCCGTAGTTCTCTGGCCCGTCTATCGATCTCCTGCTGAAGTAGCGTGACGCCGTCTTCGCCGATGACGTCAGTGCACTTTGTGACCTCTTGGCGTAAAACCCCGTTGTATTTACGCAGCCGAAGGTGGTAGTCTTGGAGGAGTGCCCGGATCATTCGTCTGCCGTGTTGAGTCACCCACCGTCTCGCCAGACTTGTGTTCACCGGTGGCCTGTAAGACAGGCTCTTGGGGAGCACATGGTTGTCAAGACATCTGTGGAGAAATTGGATTTGCGCGTAAGTTGAAGACACGCGAAGGGCGAATGTTTCCCAACGTCGTGCTGACTGAAGCGCTTCGCGCCCGAAAATATTGCTGATAGAAGCGAAGATGCGCGTCCCCGGACATAAATAAGAAGAAGAGGCGATCTCGGGAACCATAGCTATATTGCCCTGACGTTTCAAAATCAAACAAGATTTCATCGTCGGAGGTGAGTTTAGTACCACGCGTGNAGTTCATCAGTGCCTCGCCACCTGTCATTCTCTGTCGCTGCAGATCGGGTATTTATCAATCAGGAATGGGCGCACACCGATCTATTGGCTTCACAAAGCAAACAAGCTCCGTATGTGTGGCAAAGGTCACGAACAGGCAACCAATTACCAGGCCGAAGTCGGCCAAGTCATAATAGCAGCGAGGAGGGACGACAGAGAATGCGGGTAGATTGATACAGCACTGTTTCGGGCTTATTCTGCCTTCATTCAGCCAATCATAACCCTGACCACCAGCAGCTGAGACCAGAAACACAAACATGCGCACAGACGCACCTGGCGCAGTCGGTCCACCACTGAGGCCTACCAGATGGGTCATAAGCACTTCATCGAACCGAAGTTCATCAGTGCCTCGCCACCTGTCATTCTCTGTCGCTGCAGATCGGGTATTTATCAATCAGGAATGGGCGCACACCGATCTATTGGCTTCACAAAGCAAACAAGCTCCGTATGTGTGGCAAAGGTCACGAACAGGCAACCAATTACCAGGCCGAAGTCGGCCAAGTCATAATAGCAGCGAGGAGGGACGACAGAGAATGCGGGTAGATTGATACAGCACTGTTTCGGGCTTATTCTGCCTTCATTCAGCCAATCATAACCCTGACCACCAGCAGCTGAGACCAGAAACACAAACATGCGCACAGACGCACCTGGCGCAGTCGGTCCACCACTGAGGCCTAGCAGATGGGTCATAAGCACTTCATCGAACCGAAGTTCATCAGTGCCTCGCCACCTGTCATTCTCTGTCGCTGCAGATCGGGTATTTATCAATATGGAATGAGCGCACACCGATCTATTGGCCTCACAAAGCAAACAAGCTCCGTATGTGTGGCAAAGGTCACGAACAGGCAACCAATTACCAGGCCGACGTCGGCCGAGTCATAATAGCAGCGAGGAGGGACGACAGAGAATGCGGGTAGATTGATACAGCACTGTTTCGGGCTTATTCTGCCTTCATTCAGCCAATCATAACCCTGACCACCAGCAGCTGGGACCAGAAACACAAACATGCGCACAGACGCACCTGACGCAGTTGATCCACCACTGGGGTCTAGCAGATGGTTCATAAACACTTCATCGAACCGAAGTTCATCAGTGCCTCGCCACCTGTCATTCTCTGTCGCTGCAGATCGGGTATTTATCAATCAGGAATGGGCGCACACCGATCTTCGCTGCAGATCGGGTATTTGTGTTTCTGGTCCCAGCTGCTGGTGGTCAGGGTTATGATTGGCTGAATGAAGGCAGAATAAGCCCGAAACAGTGCTGTATCAATCTACCCGCATTCTCTGTCTTCCCTTCTTGCTGCCATATATATATATATATATATATCCCGTTCATCATCCTCAAAAAGACGAAGAAAAAGAGGCAATTCCATGGACCACACCGTATTGGTGCTGACGTTTCGGAAAGTTCCTCGTTCCCATCGTCAGAGTGGTGGGGTGTCTGTTCCTGCTAGCCCCGAGTTGTTCTGTCTCGCCACCTGTCTGGTGTTATAGGCATGACTAACGCACGAACTCTGACCTGCCTGCTGGCGGAGGATTGGCTTTGGCCTCCGTGGCCGATCGCTGTCGCGTTCGTGTAACCTCTGTCCCCTGTCCGGCCGCCGTTGTTGCTGCTAGTTCCGTATGCCTGTTGGCCATCCTACATAACCTGATGGGCTGATCAGCCGCCGTTGCATGTGTGAATCGCGTTCGGCTGTTTGGGCGCGTCGATCGTCTGACCGCCGGCTGGCTCTCTCCCCTGCTGTGAAGGTGATATCTGTTGAGAGAGCCGCGATTTGATCGTCAGTGCTGTCGGCCCCGTCCGGATTGACTGGAACCTCGTACGTAGCCCCTGGCTCTGTTGATTGTGTCAACCGTGGACCAACTTTCGAGCATCAGTCTGACTATATTGTCGCTGGCTCGGCCGATGACGTTTGCCTCCCCAAAGGCAAAACTGTGCTTCTCCTGTTGTATGTGGCCATATACCAGTGACAGCTTATCCTAGTGGTTGACTGCAAGCCGGTGTTCGTGCAGTCTTATGCAGAGGCGTTTGCCCGTTTCATCAATATACCTCGCACTGCACTCTTGGCAAGGTATACTGTAGATCACTGCTGATGGTTCCGTTGTCGGTAGCTGGTCTTTGGGCCTCACTATCTGCTGGCTGGTAGTGGATTCTGGTTTATGGGCCACCCCAATCCCAAAAGGGTTCAAGATTCTTGCTGTCGCCTAGAAACATTCCTCGTGTAAAGGATTGCGAGCCAGAACTTCGACTTCTCATCGTTAGATCGTTCGCGGTTAAATCCTCTTCGGCACTCACGTATGAAGGATCGTGGGTAACCATTGGCTGTGAATAGGGAGTGCAGGTATTCCACTTCCTCTCTTCTCTCGTCGTCGTCACTAAAGTGTGTTTGAACTCGTTGGAAAAGAGCTCTGACACAACTGCGTTTGTGACCAGTGGGGTGATTACTCCGGAATTGGAGGATGCGTCTAGTATTCGTTGCTTGTCGGTATACCGTAGCTCTGATCCCCCTATTAGCCATCCTTGAGAGGTTAACGCCAAGAAAGGATAACTGTTTGTCGTTCTCCTCTTCCATTGTAAATTAGATGTCGGAGAATATTGAGTTCAACAAGACCTTGAAGTCCTGAACGTCGTTCCTCTTGATTAGGAAAAATGTGTCGACATATCAATCGCAGGATTTTGGGGAGTACGAACAAAAGACCATTCGCTCGAGCCTCTGCAGAACAGCCTCGGCAATCAGTCCAGACGGCGTGGAGCCCATCTATGTTCCCTTCTTTTGTTCGTAAACCCGGTTGTTGAAAGTGAAGAAAGTGCTGATGCACAATTCCAGGGGTTCGATGACGTGCGTCCGTTTAAGTCATTGATCAGTTTCACCATACTTCTCCTGATGAAGCTAGTCAATGGTGCTGATGGCAAGGCCGGAGGTGTATAAGGAAACCACATCAAACGATACCATATATATGAGATGGTACCGACAAAGACAAGGGAGACTAGGATGGCCATTTCTGGCTTATTAGCCGCCATCAGCCAGTCATACCCAATCTCAAGTATGGACCACTTGAGATGCAGAACCGGAATCTTTGGTAATGGAGTTTTAAACTCTACCATTGAGCCAATGGCCCGTTGTCAGCTGTGTGACTGCCTGCGAGGGTTCTAGTGTGAATCCAAGGCACAACGGAACGAGCGGGTTCCGTGGCCTGATCGATGAGCGCCCCTATCTGTATTATGTACAGTTATTGACCTAACTCATGAAATGTGTCGAAATTTACGAATGATTGCTAATCACTCGCAAACAGACATCATTTCACGAGTCCAGTGTATATGTTAAGTAATTCCAAGTTTAAAAGAATTAAAAACATAAAAGAAATATAAAAGGCATTTTTGCGTTGTTTAGAAATGCCGTTTTATTTTGAAAAGCACAATATCCTGAAAACGTCACAAATGGCTCTACCTTAGTAAACTTCGTTTTTAGATGTAAAGAATGTATTCTCACAGCAAAAACGTAGCAAATATGAAAAAAGACATAAAATAACGTCTAATTACAGTGTTTTAATGAAGTTTGCATTTAGATGTCGTTTAATAAGTAGTGTGACTTCATATATGACGGTTTGTCAACTGCCTGCATTCTGAGTGTAGATTCCAAAACAGTCTTCCAGTCAGTAGTCATATTTTTGGCGCTCATGAAGTAAACAGGATGGGGTTCAACAAGGGAAGTAGGAATTTGCTTGATTTCCCCGATTGGGACGCCCTAGGAGCAAAAGTTTTCATAAGGTGACATGCCATGAGGCCGGTCGGTGCCTAATAAATTTAGACAGAACTGACAGGCGCGACCGTAAAATTGCCCTTTACATTTTAAAGAGAGGAATTTTCTTCCGTTAAGTAAATTTACACTTTTCGTTCGTTTTTGACTACGTTGAGTTTCAGATCAGCCTCGAAATGTTGCTGAATACTTCATGATTTTCAGTGCTTTCATCCGATCGCCGATAAAGACAGATTCTGAAGTACCTGTCTATTGAGGACTTTAAAATAAGATTGTTCTTGAAGGCATTTACCGAATTAACGAGGGTACGAGCGCTCCTTTTCAAGAAGATGGTCGTGTGGGTCACATGTGAGGTCTCATTCAAAACATCAAACTTCATTTTCGAGAAAAATGGCTGTCCACAACGAAAGTCAGCAACGAATATGCCTTCGAACAATACGAAAACTTTCCTTAATAAGTTACCTCTTTAAGAAATGCTTTATAACTGCACGCCGTTGACGGATCTCTGTGTACTTTGCATTTTTGCATGGCGTGGCCAAGTAAAATTTTGACACTTTTGGCCGTTTCTTTCGCGTTCCTATCGTAAACGCAAGAATATGCCTTTCTCTATACATTGAGGCCATCTCCGCTGTTTTTGCTCGCTTTTAGACTCCGTTTTTTGATTTTGAATGCGTGGTAGAGTGCCCATAGAAGTATTGATATTTTGCTGAAACTATTTATGTTTTGTTCGTTCTATTTCTGAATAAAGTATGCACAGAAGCTAAAGTACGCGACAAGTAGTATTTCTTATGTTTAAAGCTGGAAATGGTGGTCATCTATGTGACATAATGTAGAATTTTCCAAACGACAAAACAATTTCAGCCCATTTAAA